TACATATTGTAGGGGGATAGGGTGTGCAACTACATCCAGGAGCAGGAATCTATCCTGAAAGGAAACAGTAATGGGGGTGGCACGGTGGCTCAGTGGTTAGCACTGCTGCACTCAGTGCCAGGAACCCGGGTTCGATTCCAACTTTGGGTGACTGTCTGTGTGAAGTTTGCACATTCTCCCCGTGTCTGCGTGGGTTTCCTCCAGGTGCTGCGGTTTCTTCTCTGTCTGAAGATGTGCAGGCTAGGTGGTTTGGCCATGCTAAATTGCCCATAGTGTTCAGGGATGTGTAGATTAGGTGATTATAGGGGGATGGGTCTGGGTGGGATACTCCGTGGGTCAGCATGGACTTGTTGGGCCAAAAGGCCTGTTTCCACACTGTAGGAATTCTATGATAATTCTAGCACCTCCTTTTTAATATTGCAGATGTCGAAAGGTATTTCAGAGAATAAAATGCATTGAGTATTAACAGGAGATCTTAGGAAGATGGTTGGGATACAGGAGACTTTTTCATATTTGGAGAGATTGGCAGATGGAGTTTAATTTAGATAAATGTGAGGTGCTGCATTTTGGAAAGGCAAATCAGGGTAGGACTTATAAACATAATGGTAAGGTCCTGGGGAGTGTTGCTGAACAAAGAGACCTTGGAGTGCAGGTCCATAGTTCCCTGAAAGTGGCAGCACAGGTAGACAGGATAGTGAAGAAGGCATTTGGTATGCTTGCCTTTATTGGGCAGTAGATTGAGTTCAGGAGTTGGGAGGTCATTCTGCAGCTGCACAAGACATTGGTTAGGCCAAATTTGGAATATTGTGTGTAATTCTGGTCACCCTGCTATAGGAAGGATGTTGTGAAACTAGAAAAAGTTCGGAAAAGATTTACAAGCATGTTGCCAGGGTGGAGGGTTTGAGCAAGAGGGAGAGGCTGAATAGTTTGGGGCTATTTTTCCTGGAGCGTGGGAAGGCTGAGGGGTGCCCTTATAGAGGTTTATAAAATAATGTGGGGCATGGATAGGGTAAATAGGCAAGGTCTTTTCCCTGGGGTGGGAGAGTCCAAAACTAGGGGTCATAGGTTTAAGGTGAGAGGGGAAAGATATAAAAGGGATCACTTTCACACAGAAGGTGGTGCATGTATGGAATGAGCTGCCAGAGGAAGTGGTGGTCGCTGGTACAATTAAAACATTTAAAAGGCATTGGGATAGGTATGTGAATAGGAAGGGTTTAGTGGGAAATGGGCTAAATGCTGACAAATGGGACTAGATTTATATAGGATATCTGGTCGGCCTGGATGAGTTGGACTGAAGGTTCTATTACTATGACTCTATGACTATATATGGCTCATGAAAAGAATTCCAAGCATTGGACTGCCTTATCTAAAAGGAGTGGGAGGAAGAAATATGCCGGAGACTAAACTTGGAGCACCAAACCTCTGTTTATGATGTGGGGTGATGCTGTGGTGGAAACTATGAACAATGATGTTGAATTAAATTAAACATTGAAGGACAGTTGATGAATGAAAATCAGGAATGAGATGATTGTTGCATGTACTTAGAATGTGAGGAGATTTGGGAAAAGTTTAATTGTCATACTTAAGGGAGTATATGGAATAAGTTCCACACTTTTCTCTGACTTTTCTGCTTGAGACCTGTTTTACAACTGTGCTGATTTTTAAGTTGTGTAATGAGATTGGCAGGTAATTGAGGTGCAAATTGGGAGTACAAATGTCTGTAATTTCCTGATCCCATTCCCCTTCCTACCAGGAAATTCCACTCTCCGAAATACTTTGATATCTGACCTATCTATCCATCATGTTAAAATTGTTTGTTTATTTCTTGAAAATATAATTTTCCGAACAGTGGCTATTCCCTGTGTGGTAGCAGGACTTTTCTAGCTTTCTCAAGTTTCCATGAACCTATTATAAGCCTTAACAGTAAGTACTAGTAGGATTTGGTGGGAGCCAGGACCAGAGGGGAATTACAATCTGATTTTTCTTCACTTGTGTTGTCCTTGAAGTCCAATATTTTATGCCAAAGCTTACTTTTTCCAAAAGGACTACTGAATAAACAGTTGTCTCTGTCTGGATATTCAAAATCACTTCATAACATATGAATTACTCATGCAAATTACACAACTACAAACCATGACCCACATAGTTTAGTTAATGGGCACAATTTAACAATTATGTTGATGACAATGCAGTAACTTGGATGGAATCAGGTAAAAAAAATTGTTTATGCTGAGTAATTACCATCTTGGTCATTTGAATCTGTTTTCCAGTTGTATTCCTCCAGTTTGAATGAAATATTTCTGGACGCTAAATGCTCTTGCACGCACCCAAAAACATCTACCAGGTACACCCTTTCTACTGTGACGGCCCAAGTGTCTCCAGTCCTACTGCATAATCCTGGTTTAAAGGACACATTTGCTTATGTTCAAGTACATCTTTTCTGGGGGCAGGAGTCTGACTCAGAATATGTAGGTTGCTAGAGTATGCAGCAGTATTTGTTACCAGTGTCAGTCCAGCATTAATGTTCACTGTGGTTTAGGTGTAGTGGATATCACTAATGTGCAACAATAACGTGCTTTTGTGGATCTTAATCTCTGATAATTTCCTACTACACCAGTGTAAAATGTTTCAAAGTCTATATTAGCCAATTTTGTGGTCTGAGTGAAGCAATTAATCTGGTGCTGTTTGTGATGTGGTAATAATAGAATCCCTACAGTGTGGAAACAGACCCTTCAGCCCAACAAGTCCACACCGAACCTTAGAGCATCCCACCCAGACCCATATAACCCACCTAGTCTACACCTCCCTGAACACTATGGGCAATTTAGCATGGCCAATCCACCTAACCTGCACATCTTTGAACTGTAGGAGGAAACCGGAGCACCCGGAGGAAACCCACGCAGATACGGGGAGAATGTGCAAACTTCACATAGACGGTCACCTGAGACTGTAATCGAACCCAGGTCCCTGGCGCTGTGAGGCAGCAGTGCTAACCATTGTGCCACCGTGCCACCCACGCATCTGAGAAACATGTGCAGAGCTAGCTGACAGTGGAAATTGTGATCTAATTAATCTAGATTGATTTTTAATTCCAAGAAACTGCCTTGGAAAAGTAATATATTAATGTGCGTTAACCCAATCTCTCCATATATTGTGCTTCTAAGGAACATTCAAGATTTTCTAAAATGTTTATATTTTTAGCAAAGTCAAGCATAGCAGAGTGAATGCATTGCATTCAGTGTAGAGTCATAACTTGGTTACAGCATGGATCAAGACCCTTTTTTGGTGTGTCTGTACTCTTGCTCTGTCAAATGCAACTTACCTAGTCCCAATTCCCTGCCTTTTTTCTGTAGCCCTATAATTTTTTTCAGATTTTTTTTTTTCAGATTTTTTTTTCAGATTTTTTTTTTCAGTTCCCTTTTGAAACTCATAATTGAATTTTCCTCCACCACATTCTGAGGAGGTGCATTCCACATCAAAACCACTCACTGTGCTTTTTTTAAAGGCAGAAGGTTTTTTATTTCATCGCCTCTTTTTTTTTTGCCAGTAAGTTTCAATTGTTCTCTGGTTTTCAATTCTCCTGGCAGCAGAAGGTTTCTCCCTTTTGTGTTTCTTTTTACTTTGTCTGGTTCCCTCATTTTGAACACCCATATCAAATCTCCTCTTAATTTTTTTTTTTGTCTAATCTATCCACAAAACTGAAGGTCTTCTCAAAGCGCACAGTTCTGTGAAAGCTGTACCTTTTTATGCAAATGTGTGTAGAACATATGTGAGCTGTTTAGCTGACTAGTGGATTTCTAGGCTTTGGCATCTGTATTAATCATTGGAATTTTTAAAATGCAAGGGGTGGCAACTAAGTGCTGACATCCCAAATATTTTCTTCCACTGCTTCCTTTTTCCTAATCTTATTTTTTTTTTTGTTCTAATCTGCTGAAAATGCTGATTCCTACTGAGGCCCCGTTCCATTAATGCAGACAATTCTTTATAGATATTTCTGATCAACTTGTTCAGAGATGTTATGACACGCCTGTGGAAGAGGTGGGACTTTTTCATTTAAGTTAAACTTGGGCCTCCTTCCCCAGAGGTAGGGGCACTACTGCTGCACCACAAGACCCCCAGGCAGCTCATTTTATCCTGCATAACAGACAATTCTTCCATGTATGTTAGCTTGGGTGAGAAGCAATCAGATGTATCTGCTACAGCAGGCTATTTGGCTGTCCAGTCTTAGACATTTGACATTGCACAGAATTTTGGATTATTGGATAGAAATTGGAACCATTATTTGTTCTTCCTTTCCTCCCCCAACTATGTGGCCTGAGATTGGTTAAGAATTGGCTTGATTTCTCTTCTCCTTATTGATTGGATCCCCTCACGTTATTGATCATTACATTCAAGTAGAAGGCCTATCCTCTTGCCTTCTTATCCTGTTGAATATTGATTAACTCAGCACAGACTAGGGATAAACTGAAGGATCTTCCTGCTGTGAGGACCTCATTGCAGCATCTATAGAGGGCATTTGCTGGGCCTTCAGGGAGGTTCATCCTGAACTTTTGATCAGCTATTCAGTTAATACCATCAACTATTCACAAAATAAATTCCAAGAATAGTAGTCAATCCAGGGAGAAAATGGAGAGTTTTAAACAGTTAGGATTGTTAGAATGAAAGTACACTGAAAACTAATGGGATTGTAAGTAGGAGAAACCTCCTCGGCACTTAAAAGAAGTGGCTGCAAAGATGGTCAGTGCATTGATTATAATTTTTTGCAATTCAATACATTCTCTGAAGGTCTAAGCGGATTGGAAAGCTGCAGATATAACACTTCTAGTCAAGAATGGAGGGAGATGAAACAAGAAACTATAGGCCAATTCGTTTAATACTTCTTAGTGGGGGGGATAAAGCTAGAATTAATTATTAAAGAGATAACAGCAGGGCACTTGGTCATGATGCAATCAATCAGTCAACTTAGTTTCCTGAAAGTATAATTTTTTTTTTGTTTGAAGATGGAGCAAGCAGGGGCTGCTAGAAGAAAACCAGTGATTGTGGTGTGTTGGATTTCCAAAAGATGTTCGATAAGGTACTTCATGGAAGGTCACTACTAAAGTTGAGAGCACATTGACACAATGTTGGGGGTAATAAGAGTATGGATAGAGGATTGACTTACAAGCTGGAGATAGGGCAAATGGATCACTACTGTTCAAATCACTACCATTTTCACGTCAGCAATTTATAGCTAGTGGAGTGCAGCATTGGTCAGTGCTTTACAATCTAGATTGATGGCCTGCATGAAAGAGACCAACTGTATTGTAGCCAAATTTGCTGATAATACAAAGATAGGTGGGAATTTAATTTGTGAGGAGGATACAAAGAGTCTGCAGAGGGATATAGGCTGAGTAAATGGGCAAGATTTAACTCGGACTAAACTGTAACGTGGAAAGTTGTAAGTTTGCTGGCAAAGCAAAGTATTACTTAAATGAAGAAAAACTGCAGAATGCATTGGTGCAGGGTGACCTAGGTGTCCTTGTATATAAATTTCAAAAGGTTAACATGCCAGTATGGCAAGTGATTAGGAAGATGAATGGAATATTGGTCTTTCTGCAAGCAGTATGGAGTATAAAAATAGGGAAGTCTTTCTACAGTTCTGCAGACCATTTGTAGGATTACAACTCTTCCTGCGGTACTGGTCTCCTTACTTCAGGAAATATATGCTTGCACTGAAACTAGTTCAGCGAAGGTTAGTAGGCTGGTTCTGGGATGTCAGGGTTGCCTAATGAAGAAAAATTGAACTTTTACTCATTGAAACATCTGAGGTTTTGGGAGGATTTGATAGAGTTGGTGGTAAGAGGATGGAAAAATTGACCAACTAGTGACACTGTTTAAAAATGAAAGCAATATCTTTCAAATGCTGTTTTTTGAATTTTAATGGTGGCTCTTTTATTTGGTTTCTGTTTTGCTCATTCATTTCCCTAGTTTGGCATATTTACCACGGTGGCCATTTTAATATTTCACATAGTTACCTACCCCATAGCAAGAGGCTGTTAATGGTTGCAAATTAATTTTGTCATCTTCCTCCATCTGCCATCACCTGCAATTTAGGCACCTGGATACTAATTTACACCCTACTCCATAAAATGGGAAAGAATTTGTATCCCTGATTCCATGAGTTGGTAATTCAAATTATTATGTGCTTTTTAATATCTTTTAATTTAGCAACAGGAAGTAATCAAGAAAATGATTTGAATGTGAACATAGGAGATATGGGTTAGTAAGCTTGCAGATGACACTAAAAGTAGATGTTTAGTGGACAGTGAAGAAGGTTATAACAGAGTACAACAATATCTTGATCAGATGGGCCAAAAGGCTGAGGAGTGGCAGATGGAGTTTAATTTAGATAAATGAGGTGCTGCATTTTGGAAAGGCAAATCAGGGCAGGATTTTTCCACTTAATGGTATGGTCCTGGGGAGGGTTGCCGAACAAAGAAACCTTGGAGTGCAGGTTCTTAGTTCCTTGAAAGTGGAGTTGCAAGTAGGTAGGATAGTGAAGAACGTGTTTGGTATGCTTGTCTTTATTGGACAGTACACTGAGTATAGGAGTTGGGAGGTCATGTTATAGCTGTACAGGATATTGGTTCGGTCATTTTTGGCGTATTGTGCAATTCTGTTCTCCTTGCTATAGGAAGGATGTTGTGAAACTAGAAATAGTTCAGAAAAGATTTGAAGATGTTGTCGGAGTTGGAGGGTTTGATTTATGGGGAGAGGCTGAATAGGCTGGGGCTATTTTTCCCTGGAGTGTCGGAGGCTGAGAGATGACCTTATAGAGGTTTATAAAATGAGGGGCATGGATAGGGTAAGTAGACCAGGTCTTTTCCCTGGGGTGGGAGAGTCCAAAACTAGGGGTCATAGGTTTAAGGTGAGAGGGCAAAGATATAAAAGGGATCACTTTCACACAGAGGGTGGTGTGTGTATGGAATGAGCTGCTAGAGGAAGTGGTGGAGGCTGGTACGGTTACAACATTTAAAAGGCGTTTAGATGGGTATATTCATATGAAGGGTTTAGCAGGATATGGGCTAAATTCTGGCAAACGGGACTAGATTTATAAAGGATATCTGGTCGGCATGGACGAGTTGGACTGAAGGGTCTGTTTCCGTGCTATATATCTCTGACTGTATTTATAATATCCAACCCTCCCCATTTTGAAAGAGCTTCACTTTTCAAAATTATTACACAGTAATTAATGATTGTAAGGCCATATTTCAAGAATACGTCCCAGACGTATTGTTTAAAATGTATTTTGAATGATCAGCTGCTCCATTTAGTCTTGTACTGTATTGTCATTGCAAATGCAGTTGGAGGTATAATGAATGTGGGGTAAGGTATTTTGAAGAGATTGCAAACAATGGTGTATCTGTCAGTGACTTCTGATCATGGAGATATATAGCCTCTTGAAATTGGGGGGAGAAAAGCAAGTATTTATGCTATGGGAAGGACAGATGGTAGATTGATAAGGGTGGGAGAAGGGATGTAATTTTAATCTAATCTGTTTCTTGGGTAGAACGCTTTTTTTTCTAGACGACCCCACCTGATTTTTAGCTCCACTTAAGTCAATGGTGAGCAATAATGAATGTTTTACCCAATCCCAATTTCCAAAGTGGGTAAGCAGATGCATTGTTTTATTTTTGCAACAGTACATCATCAGAGCTAAACTGAGCTGGTACCTTTCATAGGATGTTTTATTGACCATAAAACAAAACAACTGAAACTAAACCAATGTCTTGTCTTGTGTTGATCAGTTTGTTCTAGGAAACTTAAAATGGTACACAATCTTAGGACATGATGATATGATCCAGATCACAGGAGTGTCTAATTGTTACACTGTGTCCCACTATTGTTGTTTGCCAGCAGTAACATGAAAGCTTAGTTGCTTTTTTTTATTAAAAGCAAGACTATGGAGCGCTTGAGTGATTCACCTTTGTACATTCTCGTAAAGCATGAGTTATTGTTGCACACACTGACGTTTCAGTATTTTGCATTGCTTTTTAATGTCTTCAGCAATCTTAAAAACTTCCTAATTGCCAAATATTCATTTCCCTTGCTCATTTCCTTTATTACTCACCAGCTTCCCCTTTTTTTCATGGTGTCTTCCTTTTATAATGTTTGCAATATTATTCTAATCAATAACCCCTAGATATCTTCTGTCTCCCAAATGTGTCCCATATATGTTCATGTTTACCAGCATTAACCTTACATAGCCAATCTTGTATTTCTAATGTTGGGGGAATGCTCAATTGTGATGGTGTTCTGTCTCACCTGGGTGCTCTCTGTCACTTTGTTAATTGGTTCACGTTATTTAGTTCATGTTTGTTTTTCACAATTTGGGAACCTCACAACTGAATGTGATTTTGGTTCACAATAAATCTTGACAAATGAAACTTTCAACTAGGCAGAGGATTTTGGATAGCTGCCAGCAATTTTGTCCACTTGTTGCAATTCTAACATGGGCAGAATAGGACTAAACAAACAGACTGGTTCAAACTTTGCATGCTTCAAGTTTGTAAGAATAGTTATTCATTGAATAAGTTTGCAAAAGTGTAAGTGGAGAATAGTGGCAATTTTAGTTACAACTAGTTTTGGAATATGTTAGCTCTTTTTTTTGCCACTCGTAATGTCTTTGTTGAGAGTTTTTTTCAATAGTTTAAACCGTTGTGGCCACTTGAGCTCAAGGTATTGCAGAACTTGGAATGGTTTGTTCCCTATTTGTTTAATAATTCACAGACCACAAATAGGTATTCAATTTGGGTTTGTTTAAGCTTTGAAGACTAATTTTTTGAAAATGTTATCTGTGATCATCGTATCATCATGGCTGCAAGTGATTTCTGACCTGTGGAAACCCTTGTGTTATGACAGTATATTGGTGGAATAAATTTAAAATATCCCTTGTATATTCTTACTAATGAAAGTTTAAAAACTCATGCAGAGGACATCTCTGCCAGTGAAGTCACTGCTTTCATGTAGGAATCCCAGCAGCCAATTTGTACATAGCAAGCTCCCAAAAAGATCCTGCTGATAATGACCAGTGAATTAGTTTTTGTGATGCTGATGGAGGGGTAAATTCAAATCAGGCAACCTTGGTTTGATATCTCACTAATGTTGAGACTGCAGAGCTCTTTCCAATGAATTTGATCTTTATTTTCCAGATACAATCTCATTCTTAAATGCATTAAAGCTACAGTCAAAACCAGGAAAGACTAAACTGAATTATCAGTTGAAGAGGGAAAGGCACAAATTGGCAGCTTGTTTTACATGACACACACTGTTCTATTCCATTAACTTCACTTAACGAACGTTTTTATTGGTGTTTTTGTTTTACTGACAATCTGATATCTTCATGATTACTTTTATAAAACCTAATACCAGCTTTGTAATTTCAAAAATCAGCTATATTCTTTTGGACTATTGGCCTTGAACACTTCGATGAAGTGTTTGTATTATGTATTTTGAGGCATGCAAATATTGTAAATGAGTTTTTATGATTTTTGTTTTAATATAGTGAGCACTGCAATAGATAACGTCTTATTTTATAAGATTTTTTAGCCCCATTTCTGCATTGGTCCTGAGACCTGTCAGTGTTGAGTGTAAGGACGAAAGTTAGTGGGTGGGAGCATGAGTTGGCAGTAATTGCACCTAAGTTGGCATAAGGGCTATAAATGGCTGTGGGGATAGGTACAGGGACATATCTTGTTTCCTGGCCACAAGGAGTTTAGTTAGGGCTAAATACATGTTCATGTTTTATCCCATCAATATAAATGAATTCAAACCCAAAACTAGATGATATTCTAAAACACTGCTTCACTTATTTTCTGCAGCATGTTTTAATTTAATTTAATATTTATAGGGCTGGGATGCATTTCCAATGACATTTGAATGTAAAAGTAAATTTCAATGCCAAGGAGATTGTCAGCAATTAAGACTTTAACATGTCATCTTAGAATTTAAATCCAGGAATAGACAAGCCCCAACAATTTCTGGTGTATTTAGTTGGGATGGACACCAATAATAGTATTTTAATGCTCAGCAAGA